TTGATGAAATGCTGGATTCTTTGCCAGGTGCAAAGCTCTCCGACTATCACAAAATAGACCAATCTTCTCTTGTTTGTATCCAACATTAACATTTGCAACCAAATCACCTCTTTGCCAGCTTGTGTAGCTGCCACGTATTTAGCCTTTTTCGTAGAAATAGCTATGATAGACTGCATTTTCAAAACCAAGCTTACAGCTCCTCCAGCAAGAGTAAACACATAACCTGTGGTGGATTTACTTTTGTCAAGATCACCTACGTAATCTGAATCAACAAAACCTCTTACAACAAATTTGATCATTCATAACATAATGCAGCATTTGAGGTACCTTGATATATCTCAGGACCAGAATTTGTCATGTATCGACTAATCGCTCACACTGCTTATACAATGTCGGTCTTGTATAGATCATAACAAATATTAAGCTAGCAAATTCTTACGCATATGGTACTCGAAACATCTCCATTCTCTCTGCTTCATTGCCAGGACTTATACTTGAGGATATCTTAAAATTAATAGGAGCAAAAACTGGCTTACAATATTGTATATTGAAGCGCTGCAAGATTTTTATCAAGTAGTTCTTTTGATTTTGCCAAATCTTTTGATTATTCCCGTTTCGGTAAATTTGCACTCCTAGAATCTTGTTTGTTGATCCCAAGTCCTTTATTTAAAACTCCTTAGCCAACTGTGCCTTCAAGTCTTTAGTACAATCTTTGTTGGGGCCTGCTACCAACATGTCGTCAAAATACAACAATAGCACAATAATTAAATTACCATCACTAAATCTCTTGTAGTAAACACAAGGATTTGAACTAAGTCTGTTGTATCCAAAGCTTATGATGAAGGAATCAAATCTCTTATACCAACACCCCGACGCCTATTTGAGACTGTATAGAGATTTGTTCACCTTTCAAACCAAGTTCTCTTTTCATTTTTCTTCAAAACGTTCTGGTTGGAGCGTATAAATTTTTTCTTTTTCTTGTAGTTTATCTTTTGCAAATATTACATCCCTTTTGATCATCACCTTGTAGGCAGTGGGATCCTACAGGCGGTACCATCAGCATACCCTAAGAAAATACATTTTATAGATTTTGGATCCAGTTTTGATGTTTCTTGGACATTGTACATAACATACACAGGACTTCCAAATGTATGTAAACGAGAATAATCAGTTGGTTTACCAGTCCATATCTCCATTGGCATTTTAAGATCAATTGCGGTTGATGGTGACCGATTGACAGACGGTCTTAACTGCTTCTGCCCAAAATGACTTGGCCATCCCCGCAATTCTCAACATCGTTCTTGTCCATTCTAACAAGGTTCTGTTTATCCGCTCTACTACTCCATTTTGTTGTGGAGTGTATGCCACAGTGAACTGCCTCTTGATACCTTCTTGTTGACACAAGTTATCAAATTCATCATCAATATATTCTCCTCCATTATCTATTCGTAAACACTTGATCTTCTTTTAAGATTCAAGCTTCACTCGCGCTTTAAATATTTTGAAAATTGAAAATACGTTTACCTTCCTCTTTATTGGATACACCCAAAATCTCCTAGAGTAATCATCAATAAAAGATACAAAGTATCTTGCACTTCCTAGGGATATAACCGGTGCTTGCTAAATATCAGAATGGACCAACTCTAAGAAAGCCTTACTTTTGCCAAGGGAACTGCTGAACTTCAATTTGTGTTGTTTACTAGTAATACAATGCACAAAAGGCTAATGAAACCTTTTGAAGCCCTGGAAGAAGCTTTTGTTCAGCAAGAATCTTCAAACCTCGTTCTGACATGTAGTCAAGTTTACGGTGCCACATCATCGTTAATTCTTCTGCCGAACTTGCCAACACAGTAGATACTTCTCCTTGTTGTGTTTCTCTTTTAAGCATGTACAAATTTGCAGCTATTTTTTCCATTTTCATCATCACAAGCTTGCCTTTAACTATTTTTATGATCCCATCTTGAATATGGGTTTTGCACCCACTATTATCTAATTGTCCCAAAGACAACAGATTTTTCTTCGGGCCCTTCACGTGCCGTACCTCCTTAATAGTGCAAACTGTACCATCATACATCTTCAATTTGATGTTACCAATACCAGCAATCTCCAAAGGCATGATCATCTCCCATGAATACAGATCCTCCTGAGATAAGCTCATATTGGTGGAACCATTCTCTCCTAGGGGTCATATGACATGTTGCTCCTGAGTCCATAAGCCAGACTTCAGTGAATTTTCTTCTACCTTCAACAACTGTTGTTGCCTCGCTGTATAAAATTTCATCATCATCTGAGGTGTTTGCTACACAACCCTGAGCTTTTGATATCTGATGACCTTTTCCTTTGGCTTCTTCATTCTTCTTGAGACTCCAACAATCCCTTTTTTAAGTGCCCTTTCTTGCCATGGCTTCTTCATTCTTCTTGAGATTCCAGCAATCCTTTGTTAAGTGCCCTTTCTTGCCACAGTAATGACACTAGCATTCTTCTTAGTCCTAGATTTTGATCTACTTTGATTATGACTCCCACTGGAGCCACATTCTATTGATCTCCCTCTCATCATCGTCAAAGCTTCAGCCTGCTGTAAGCTTCCCAGTCTATCTTCTTTGCTCTTGTACCGACTTTCTTCTTCAAGAACTGCAGCTGCAATATTGTCAAAGACGAGTACTTCTATGGTGTCAGTTATATTGATGATGAGTTGATCATATGAATCAGATGCACTCTGAAGTAGAATTTTAGCACATTCATCTGTTTCTATCATGCCCCATTGATGTGAGCCATGAAAATAGAGTATTGAAGGTGTTGATGTGGTCAGTCACCGGAGTAGACTCCATCATCCGAAGGGTGTAAAGCTTTCTTTTCAAGAAGATTTTGTTGTGTAACAATCTGGCCTCGTACAATTTTGTTAGTGTATCTCATATTTCTTTTGCTGTCTTTTTCTCCGCCACACTTGACAATATTTCGTCGACAATTGCTAAGTGCAGATCAGCAATAGCATTGTCATCCATCTCGTTCCACTTGCTATCGTCGGTGATCTCTTCGGACCTGTTTCCAATTGCCGTCAAGCAGTTATTTTTTCTTAAAACTGCATTTATTTTCATTTTCCATAATGAGAAATTATTCCCATTAAACTTTTCTATTTTGTACTTCATCGCCATTGTTGAAGATGTCTCATTTGCACAAACTGGATCTGACTGTAGCATGAAAAATCGGCTATAAACCCGACGCTCTGATACCACTGTTAGGACGTTGTGGTACGGGACACACAATTACCACTAAAGTAGAAATGAGAAAACCAAGGAAAAATGAAGAACACAATAATTTTACGTGGAAAAATCAAGGGCAAATTGTAGAAAGATTTCAGTATAGCAAAATGATTACAACATTTTCTCTCTATAGATAAGGAGAGCACAATTGACAATACCCCCTCTTTTATAATAGGAGAAACGCACACTTTGAAAAAGGAAAGACTAAAACTATTTAAGAGAAACTCACTAGTATTTTCTCTCTAAAACTCTCTCTTTCTCTCTGTGTTTTTCTGTACTCCAAAATGGGATGATACAATATGTGTTGTAGCTCACACATATATAGAGATGGTGAGGTTGTTATCCATTAGCTTTGTAGCTATAAATTTACCAACTTTATCCATTAACTTTTTTGTAGCTATCCACTTGCCCAGAATATAAAGCCAAAAGTCTTAATGAATAAGAAAGCCAAAAGCGGCTTTACAACCAACACATATTCCATAAGCTGATCAAGCAATAGCATTGATTTACAGGCTTGTTGGTCTACAAACAATACAAAACACATTTCTTTACACTAAGAGCATGTTTGGCTAAACTTAAAATCTAATTAAAATTGAAAATATAGCAATTATTGGGTCCCACTCGTCTAATAAAAGTCAACAATAACGGTTAATTTTTCAATTTTAATCTGATTTTAATCTCTACCGAACACGCCCTAAACTTGTTCGAGGCAACACAAGAAGTTGCTTGACTGCCTAATCCAAATAAAAATGGTTCATCTGTTGTAAACATTGGATCCCAGAGACCGCCCAACAATTAGAAATCAATTCAATCCTGATCACTTTCACCAAATACTATACATTGTAGACAGATTTTTCTCTTTAATTATGAAAAAAGACCCCAATGAAAGTTTATGTTTGTTTTAAACTAAGGGTCATTTATAATTGTACCATATAATAACTCATTCAATTACATAGAGCACAGAGGCAACTGGAGTATAAAGTGGCTTGGATCTCTCTGTTTGTCTAGTTGATAACACTTCTATTCATCGGTACAGACCACTTTAGTGTGAACCAATCGTTCTACAAGTTTTGGCCTACCACGTGAATCCTAATACACATTTCATTGGGACGTCCCCACCATTGATGCACTGCATTGTATCTCGGGTACATTGAAAAGTGAAGAAGGGTCGATCGAAAATGATTCATTAATATTTATTGGAGAAAATTTTAATCGGTTGTTTTTCCTTCAAACTTTCTGTTCAACCACACGAATCTTTATCGTCTAGTATCTCAATATATTTTTACTATACAAAGAAAGAAAAAGCAAAGAAGGAAAACATCATTGACCTGGTTGACCTGTCATTTTCTAGTTGACTTGACTTAGTCTTGTTGACCTAAAGTGGCATCCACGTACCCATCTACTGATAACTGACAAACTAGTCACGTCAATCAGTCGATGCAAAAAAATTTCCTCTTCCCAATTCGTGAATGATGATTCAAAGGGTCCCAGTTTTCCACCTCCATGTAAAATATTTTTTGGAAATATTATCAAAGCCGCGTAATGGTACAAAAAAAGTCTGTCTAATCCGTTGACATTCATATGCATTTTTTTTTTCGAAGTGAACCTCATGTTTCATTTTTTCTTTGTCAAGCGAGGTGAAAATCTTGGGTAGAACTGTAGAAATATTATACTAATGCTGAAATACATCAGATAAGCCATATCACTTTGCAGCAAACAAGATTCAGACATAAAAAGAAGCTAAAAAATGAAAACGAAAATTCCAATTTCGTAGAGAATTTGAAACTGACCTTGCTCAATGAAGACTGAAAGCCCGAAATCAATTGCCTTCAATGGAGAATCTTTCTCACGACTAACGAGCAAGAAATTCTCAGGCTTAAGGTCTCTATGCATCACACCCATGAAATGGCAAACATGAACCACATTCACAATTTGCCTTCCAATTTTTGCTGCCTCTTTTTCAGAATAACTCCCTCTGGCAGTAATCCTATCAAAAAGTTCACCTCCACTGCAAAATTCCATAACCAAATTCACATTTACCCTGTCCTCATAGGCACCCTTGAACTCAACAATATTGGGCTGTCCAGTCAAATGCTCCAGAATCATAATCTCCCTTCTCACGTCTTCTACATCTTTTTTAGTCGCCAGTTTTTTTACGGAAATGGATTTGCATGCATATTTGTAGCCAGTTGCCTTATCGGTGCAAAGATAGGTGATTCCAAATTGCCCTCTTCCAAGCTCTTTGTGAATATCATAGAATGTTTTAATATCTATGTAAGGCTTGCCTAAAACTAGGCCAATTTCGGAGGATGAAGATGGTGCAGGAGTGGTGGTGATTCTTGGCAAAAGTTTTGGAGACGGAGCTGGTTTTGGCGGCGGTGGAGGTGGAGGTGG